GAGGCGAGGCAGGGAGAGGGAGAGGGAGTCGAGGCAGGCAGGCAGAGGGAGAGGGAGTCGAGGCAGGCAGAGTCTCCACCATTTCCCCCCTGCTCATCTTGGCAGTGTGATAACATGTAGCACTGAGCTCTTCTCTGATTGCCTCACAAATGACACGTTTCAACAACTTCCTTCCCGTCGTCAGAACTACACTAACAATCCACCTATTCAAATTCAGGCACATTTCCCCACTTATCACGCAGGTTCAAAGACAGAAATAAAATGACATCAGTATGCAGATGGATGATGATGATGATGATATTCTGTCTGTTTCTCTCCTACAGGTGTCTGTTAAGACTGGTATTTGCCACTGTATTGGCAAACTGCAGGACTGACACCTTAGACCATCTTGTGTTTAAGACAGAGACAGGTTCTCCTCAGGATGTTTAGACCCATTTTTTTTATCCAAAAAGATTTCATGCATTTTTTATCCTCAAATGAAATTTTATAAATCAATGCTTTACACTTCTGCCTCTTGGAGGCGAGGTGGTCGAGCTGCTAAAGTAAACAAGTCCATCTCGTTTTCATGAGCTCCCGAATTCAAACCCCAGCACTTCCAGAATCTCCACATGGTCGTCTCTTTGGACGCCAGATCCCCGGAGGCGATGACATCACTTGGGGTAAATGACTCCCAAGGACGGTGACCCCAGCATATTCAAGAAGCCTCAGAGGAACACCTAGCAGCTGACACTTATTCTGTGGCACTTTGACTAGAGGCGTTTAGCATCTCAGTCAGCATTAATGACCTGAATGAGGTAAATACATTAGACTCTGTGACCTTTCAGCCATATGTGCGCAGCTGGCCCTGGGGGACAGCTGCTCGTCCGCAGACAGAATGCAAATCTGACTCCCCGCAGCCCCGAATGACTGAAGTCTGCCTCCGCGGGGCCCTGATGCCCGAGAGAGAAGTGGGGTCGGGGGACCTGTGCGCCAGTCTGCGCCCCGCCCGAGCTCACCTAGCCTGCCGTTGCTGAGGCGCTTCTGCTCCACCTGGCCCTTCAGGGCCCGCACCTTCTTCAGCTTGGCCTCCTGGCTCTCGGCGTTCTCGCGCAGCCGCTGCAGCTTCTCCTGCTCCGAGGCCTGCTGCTGCCGGTGGTCCTGCTGCTTCAGGTAGCGCAGCCGCTGCTCCTGCAGGGGGCGACACGCTCAGCTGTGGGGCTGCAACTCTCCCGGCGCGGGCTCTCCGGCCACATTCCCTCAGCGGCCGGCAGACACAGCCGCCAGGTCCGCAAGCTCGCACTACTTTTGTATAAGTCATTAGTAAATGTTAAACGTCACTGCGTTACAACAGCTCTAGTTGTCATTTTAAAGAAATAAGAAATACAATAAGTTTCTCTCCGTAGGAAAACAGCTGCTTGGCCATTGCAGCACTCAGCTGTCAACTGACCGAGGAACATGACCCCTCAGGCCCTGTGAAGATCCGCACACCCCCCAGTCTCCTCCTCCATCTCTCCTGCAGCTCACTGGACTGCAGTACCTTTGCATCCACATCGGTCACTCGCGTGACCATGCGCGAGAGACCACAATCCCCTTGTGAACAGAGAGGAGACGTGCTGGATCAGCAGGACGGAGGCGAGGATCTGACACTGACTTTTGCGCGTTTCCCCAGCCCCCTCCGAGCCCCAGATCTCTACCTTGGAAGCCAGCAGCTGCTGCTGGGCGTCGATCTGCTGCTGCTGCCGGGCTGCCATCTCCTGGAGCTCCGCAAGAGTCATGTCCGTGCGTGGGACTGCCACCTACAGGGAGAGGACAGCAAGGACAACCTTCCTTCAAGAGTGCTCTCCAGTCCTCCTTGAGTGTCTTCCTGTTTCTGCTCCAGCCCTCTCAAACCAATTTTAGTTGGTCAGATCTGACTGTAAACTGAAACTGGAATCACCATCAAAGTTATCTTAAAACACATCCAAACATATTCAATAATTAACTAACACCTGAAGCTGGAATGGACACCAGTTGCACCTGCCACATGAAAGAACAACCTCCAGTGGCTGGATGACTCCAGACATGTTTGGACAGGGGATTCAGTTTTTAAAGATCAGAGAAATATAGGCTACAACTCAGGCCTCTTTCCATGACTAGAGCACTGATCCTGGTTTAAGTGCCTACAAGGAAATAGATTAAGACTGCAAACATAGAGCAGTTCAATAAATTTTAAGTCCTTGTACAGGTGAACACAGGTGTTTCAGATTTAGTGTGCAAACACTTTTTGAACAATAGAAAGCAGACAGACTGGTGACCTGAAGGTGACTGTAAACCAGCCTTTGCTGATCTCCACACCTGCCAGCATGCGCCTGACTCATCAGAAACACAGCGGACAGACTGGTTTTGTTTTTCAACAGCGGAAAAGTTGAGTATTCTCCCCTCCAGCTCTGTATATTCACTAGCAGGTAGCCTGAGGCATTTCTTTGCACTCACCCTGTTTCCAAATGAGTCACAGGTTCTCATGAAAACACCCCATGGAGAACACTGTTAGAAGGATTAACGTACCGAGTACAGTGGTACTTGAAACTAAGCTTCCCAGAAACAAAAGGATGTCCTAAAGTTAGGATACAGCAGAAACTAACCCTACACAACTTGTCAGTCTTTGGTTCTAGATTCTCAGGTCATGAAATATCTTTACAGAGAATCGTCACTAAGCCTCTGGAGATGAAAAGGTTTAACACCAGCGTCTTATCAATGGTGAAGTGTTATTTGTTCACTCATCAATCCTACGGCCCCTGTAGTGCCATGATGAGGCTTGGTTAGCAGTGTAGTCAGAGTTTCTGGGATTTGGTGTCTGGTATGCTCAGAGCCAATCTGTCGTGTCGTGGGAGGGGGTCCTGGGAGGTACGCTCATAGAGGACAGCAGCGCAGCCCTCCCAGGTTGCAGTTCTGGGATGTGTGGAATGGTAGAGACTTGCAGTAGCAGTGCCAGTCCTGTACTTACCCCATTTTCACTCTGCCTGTTCATGGGAGTCTTCAGACCGTTGCTCTGAGCCCTCGATCCACCTGATAGCGATCACAGCACACTGTTAGCATATTGTTTGCACACACAAATGACAAAAAAACATGAATCCTGAAATATTTCCAAACTGTTAACACAGGCAATCATTCAAATGATCTAAATTACCAGGCTGTCTGTTTCAGGGAGACATATGGTTGTTTTTTTGAGACTGCTTTCTGTTTTTTTTTTCTGACAGCTGAATTGTAACAGAGGATGGAAAAGACTTTCACCCAGGAAGGGAGGGGGACAGGAAACTCTGATGCAAGGACTGCCATGAAGGCCAAGACTGGGATTTGTCCGGCAAGCACTTTCTCACGCCAGAGTCTCCTCTCAGAAACTCTGCAGCTCTGCAGTGGCCTTGTTCATGCAGGAAAGCAGGGCCTAGTTAGTCCTTCTATGGCTCAGTACGGTGCACGGAGACAACTTAGTTCTTATATAATCAGGATCAAGAGCTTTAGTAACTTATACAAGACAAAGCGCTCACCCTAGCTGTTACAGTCCACTAGTGTTGAGCATTGCGCAGCTTGTTTCATGGTGATGTTGAGGCGCCCCCCCCGCTCGGCTCTCCCAGCATGCTGCACTCACCCGGCTCCCTGCTGGGCGCTCTCTCGTGCCGCAGGAAGAACCGCACTTCCGCCCTCTGCTGGCCCCAGCGCTGCAGCACATCCAGCATCCTCTCGCCCTCGCCGACTGCTCTCTCTGCAGGGCAGGCACAGCGAGTCAGCAGACTGAGCCACTGGTTCCACTCCAGGACACCCCGGGCCAGCACACTGAGCCTGCGGCCCAATTCCAGGACACCCCGGGCCAGCAGACTGAGTGTGGACCCCAATTCCAGAAGACACACGCGACAGAGGTCAATAACACTGTGCCCGTTTGGAAGAAAGGTCTGAATTCTGACACATCAGACCAATAGAGACACGAGACTGCAGAGCATCTACCTTGGACACTGGGACAGCTGTGCTCTCATTACTTAATTGAAGCCCTAACTGAACTGATCGTTTTACTTAACCAAAATTGTCTTTGATGCTTTCATGTTACACAGCAGGCTCAAAGTCCAATGAGGGAAAGATCGTTTGCTCTGCATCTCTTTTAAAACCGCTGTGATGAACTACAACTTAATGTGACCTTGCTGGCAATGCGGTGGAGTTGCCGAGACAGATCACGTCACTGTCAGAACAGACACCCATGAGGTAATGGACACGGAGGCCAGTGGGAAGGAAGGTTACTGTGGACTTGAGGCATGAGCCAGAGCCAAGGTGAGACTAGAGGTAGAGAGGCAGAAGGATTCGCTGGCAGACGGACAGGGTGACGAGATAGAGGGGAGACTGAAGGAGCTGCAGGATGCATCACTCTGGTCAGGACTCAGCTGCAATTAAATACACCATTGGTGTGCTTCTG